ACCATGACGCAAAGAAACAAGAAGTAGAGAGATGCACAGACTGCCGCTATAATAATGAAGGCGTACTGAGAAAGTTAAGAAAAGACACCTTCTTTGTCTCTTCCCCCAAACCCCCATGAAAGCATATACAGTGGAAGCACTCGTGACCGGACATCCTCGGGACGCGAAAACGGTGTCCGTTCGTGGAGCTAGCCGCTTACGGGAATGGGAGTTTAGAAAAACGGGGTATTGTGAAGGCGGCCGTAAGCAACGCTGTCTGCTTACGAGAGTGTCCGTTAGGAGAACTCCCCGGCACTGCATTTGCGCGCTTTTTTACGGCAACATACTCGGAAAAAATTCGCCATTTGCGGGGCCTGGTCCCTAAGAATTTCAAACAGTCGGTCTTGCAAAATGGCAAGCACCGATGAACTATATACACGAATATAAAAGGATACAGCCAGATTGTTTCCTATTTTGGTGGCCCAGATTGTGTGGAAAGGATTGTGAAGTTGATAGCCTCTGAAACAAGAAAACATTGCACATTTCTTACGCAAACACCAAGTTCTTTTCATGATTATAGTATTTAACAGGAGCTCCACTTTTGGGCTTGGCTAACGGAACTGACCCCTTGAGTNAAGTTAAGAAAAGACACCTTCTTTGTCTCTTCCCCCAAACCCCCATGAAAGCATATACAGTGGAAGCACTCGTGACCGGACATCCTCGGGACGCGAAAACGGTGTCCGTTCGTGGAGCTAGCCGCTTACGGGAATGGGAGTTTAGAAAAACGGGGTATTGTGAAGGCGGCCGTAAGCAACGCTGTCTGCTTACGAGAGTGTCCGTTAGGAGAACTCCCCGGCACTGCATTTGCGCGCTTTTTTACGGCAACATACTCGGAAAAAATTCGCCATTTGCGGGGCCTGGTCCCTAAGAATTTCAAACAGTCGGTCTTGCAAAATGGCAAGCACCGATGAACTATATACACGAATATAAAAGGATACAGCCAGATTGTTTCCTATTTTGGTGGCCCAGATTGTGTGGAAAGGATTGTGAAGTTGATAGCCTCTGAAACAAGAAAACATTGCACATTTCTTACGCAAACACCAAGTTCTTTTCATGATTATAGTATTTAACAGGAGCTCCACTTTTGGGCTTGGCTAACGGAACTGACCCCTTGAGTTTATCTATGGGCACTGGTAGAGGGGGTAGGGCACTAAAATGGCGGGATTGGCGGGAACACACCACACAGACAAAATTGGCGGGAAAACACTGGGGTCAGGTGCCGGACAAAGGGCGGGAAAATGACATAGCAAGCGAAGACAAACATGGCGTCCTGTCTTCTCGCTTCGAGAAAGCGTTTTCATATATTATTGAAGAAAACGAGGTAAAATATCAAACACTACCGTAAAAAAAACGATTAAGATGTAACCAGCGAAGACGGCTGTGGCGTTCCCAGCTTTGACACGTCATGAACCATTAGTACCGATCGAAAAAACAGGTCAACGATAGAAAAGGTAAGCTTAATCTTGGTGGTTCTGTAGTTTTAGCCTATAGCCTTGTCTTTTAGACAACTTACAGCAAATGTATTCCTTATCAGAATTCCCCCTGAATATTTATTTCCTCTTTCTAAGCCATTAGCTTAAGTTACCCTGTGAGGAGAGGCTACATTTTCACGGAGTGATATAGCGTTCGAAATGCAGCCGATGCTAGCAGGGTTTTAGCTAGTTAAGTAGTCACTGCATTAGTTAAGGTTTGACTAAAAGTTTATCTTACAAGTAGGCTATCAGACTAGCCATGTAATATAAGCTTATTTCTCAGCTAATTTAAGTGAAAAGCTATTTTATATAGGTAACCAAAGTTATAAGCTTCATGCTACTGCGGGGCATTTGCCAATCTTGTCAGTCCTAGGGGTGGGGCATTAACAAACTTTGCGTGGCCCCTTTACGGGCAACTGACTGATGCATTAGCTACTAAGCAGTAGCTGTACTAAGGAAATAGGAATTTAGCTACTTGGCCAGCCCTTCAACAGAATAAATCTCCCTTGATTATGCATGGTTCAATTTTACTTGTTACCATCCCCCTTAGGCAACCCCTGGAACAAGTCCAGTCCTTTGAACCCAGGGGTGGGGAATTGTTTGAAGCGGTCCTGTCCCGGGGTTAGAGGGGTGGGGCAAATAAAAATATCTCCTCTTTGATTTTACCAAGAACGTGTTATTTCTTGCGTGGTTTACACAATGGCTACGTACCTCAAGACTACACATTTTTAAGGAAAGATGCAGAAATTTGTCGGAGAGTGGTTGGAGAGGAATAACTTATCAAAATTAAAGTCTGTATTTAAAGGTATGTTTTTAAATTTGAAACGAATGTGCGTATGATGCGTACTCGAATGGATTTTATTTTGTGGAAAGGAAGGACAGATATATTTCTTCAGCTTAGCTTTAAATAATGATACTAAGTTTTATATGAAAATGAATACAAGGCTTTTGATATATAGAGAGAAACAGAGATTTGGTCCAGTGTTCTCATGAAGTGTTCTATCAAAGAGGCGCTTCTTAAAGCATTTTTCTTCTTCGTTTTCCTTTTCATTATGACATCCATATCCTTCTCTCAATAAACTAAGGAAAACAATCATAAAAGTTGTGAAAACATGTCTTTTTGCTTTGAACGGATCTAGAAGATGTAGCAAAAAACATATATGAGGTCAATCAGGAACTCACGGGTGGGGAATTGTCTCTTTCTGCATGCCCGGGGGTGGGGAATGGACCTCCAAGAAAGAAAAAAATTGCAATCCCCAGGGGTGTGCCCCGGGGGGAGGGGGGAGGACATATTTACAAGTAAAATTGAACCATGCATTATTGAAGGAGAAAAATACTTCAATGGAATTGCTGTTGCCCTCAAAATATCAGCTTTTAAATTTCCTTGAGATGACTTAAGTCAGTTACTTTCCCAAAAGCCATACCTCTCACAGAGATCAAACACCAGTAAAGAGAGAGATCCAAATCCAATAGCACCGACCTGGCGCCAGTAAGTCTTGAGCCTATTTCGTTCTGGTTGGTCCTGAGAAAAACATGTTTGGCATTAGTACTAACAGAATTACCAAAAAAAAACGTGACTCCCCCCCCCCCCCCCCCCCAAAAAAAAAAAAAAAAAAGGAAAAAAATACAAACACATAAAAACAAACATAACCACACCACACATTTATATAAAATTAGAACGTTTATTTTTTTATTACTGTTACTTATTATTTTTCTCAACATAGAGCATATATGGAATTA